AGAAATAGAATGTAATATTCTTTACACTTTCATTTTTTCATGACTGTATAATCCCCTGAGCGCGGCGCCCTTGAAGCAGCATTACTACGGTTGTGATGGCGGACGGCGTAGCCGCTGCTCTGCTCAGCGGCTCATGGTGAGTTCAGCTGTTGGGAAAAAGAGGAGACCACATCGTTAGACGCCACTGCACACTGTCCCTTTGAATATTTTGTTTTACCAGTCAGTTTCAATCCCCCAAACGGTATCCCAATTAGCGGTTCAATTATTTATTTATTTTTTACACACTGTCAGAAATACCATTCTGGGGGGGGGAAAGGAAAAAACCTTTCTGTATTTATTATTGATTTAAAGGCATATTCAGTCTTACAGGCATCCATTCATAACATGGGCTCCCCGCTTTTAGTTCTATTGTAGTGGGTTCACACCCTGGCAAAGCAAGCCTTCTTAGTATTATATACGAAAACGTATTAGCGGCTTAAAGTCATTCAAAGAAATCATTCATAGGGATTTTAACATGAATAAACGTATTACGGATAACCCCTTTAGAGGTTTTACTTAATAAAGAGGTACCTATTTTTCATCCGAACCTTCCCTACTCCTTTCAGAGCTGCAGCAAAAGGTTACTGTTTAATTCTATTGTGTCTAGAAACTCTGTATCTTTAGCCCCAAATATTTCCTTTTCACCTTAACCTCCTCCGGATCCACAGTGAATGATTGCAGCTACATAAAGCCGATTGTGAGTACGAGGAATAAAAGCAGCGGCACACTCCTGGGAGTCCTCTGACAATGGAGCAGCCTTGGCCTAGATGCAAATCATAGCCTCTTATTCAGACTACACTGACGCATGCCTGTGTGTGTGTGTGTGTGTGTGTGTGTGTGTGTGGGGTGGCCAATATTCAGAGGAGAGCGTCACGCTACCTCCTCATTAGGTGGCTCTGATTAAAGCTAAAGCGCTAATACCATGTTTGCAGGGGGTGGAGGGAGGGAGGAAGGTAAACAGGCGAACAGGCCAAGAAGACAAGAGAGACGGATGGAAGGAGAGAGCGAACAAAGAGGAGGAGGGAAGAGAGAAGAGAGGAAAATACGAGAATGACAAAGTGAGCGGAGGACACGGAGAGTGTAGATTGGGGAGAGGAGTGTGTGCGCACATGTGGATTGGGTGTGAGGGCTCTTCTGTCCCTGCATTAGGCAACACTCACACTAAGGTGGCCGGGTTGCAGGATTAGTAGTTTAATTGGTACCTCAAGGAATAGAGGAGATCCAACAACAGTGGAGTGGTACCGTGGGTGGGCTGCAGGGCCATGGTGACACACACACACACACACACACACACACACACACTTACACAAGATGTTATTCTACTTGTAAGGATATTCTCTCAAACCATTCCCCCCTTCCTCTCCCCTCATTTAGGGTTGTAACGCAGTGGGGTTTTCACAGTATGCAGAAGATATAACGGTTTCATCATATGCTGTGTTTTCATTTATATTATTATTATTAGAATTAGATACAGGGAAATTAATGAGAATATAATTATAAAAATAGACTCAATAATGAACCTGGAAAAATAAATAGCAGTTCACTATTACATGCTATTTGACGGAGGCGGGTTAGTTTACGTGTTGGTTAAATTAACTAATGAATGAAAAACGACTTCACTTGTGAGCTTTTAAAATAATGGCCTATGATTAATAACAATCATCACATTCTTGAGGTGCGTGACAATACAGTACAAACAAACAGATGATGATCAATCAATTTTAATAAGATGCCGGTAGAACAGTTGAGGTCAAAACCAAACTCGGCTACTAAGAATGTGGAAATCAGAATTATTCCCGATTAATGCACACGTAATTGTCGGGTGAATAATGGTGAGATGGAGGAAAAATGCTCGTCGGATGTGGAGTCATTTCTGCACCATGCAGAAAGGTCCATTTAAGAATAATATTTAGTGCAGTTTAATGCTGCCCGAGGCAAAAAACCTGGTTTGGCAGCAAATACCAATGATACTGCGAGGACATGCTCGTACGTGCACGCATCCCCACAGGACGACATACTCAGGATGACTCCATTAGGTTTTCCACCAGGACTATGACGCCCCGCTTTGCACATCTCAATGAAAATGTTTCATGAACAAAACAGGCAAATCCTCCGCCGGAGCCCCTGGAGCCCAGCGTCAACACTCGCCTGTGAACTGCTTAATGTCTGCGAGCTGCGTTACACAGAGCATGTATGATCGCGCACTTTGGTTCGCTCAGGCCTCATTCATAATGCAGGGGGGGGGAGTGCTAGTCACAATTGCCGCTGTATGGCGTTTAAATTACTACTATGTGGATGGAGTAACTACGTTGACCTCTTTGGTTGACCCCTGCTGTTCCCCCCGATGTGTTTACAGTCTGCTGGGAGGCCTCCGCGTCACGCCAGGAGCTCATTATTATGTCGCAACCGTAGTGATTCAACTCAGCGGCAACGCTGCTCCCAGATCAGCGGACCTATTCTGGAGACCCTCTCACACATTAGTGGCTCCCTTCCCTGGTTGAGAGGATGCGACTCCTGTGGAAGATGGATGACAGGGGTACATATAAATAGAGTGGTGAATGGATGTGACGGGGGGAGGGAGGGGGTGATGGATTGATAGAGTGTCGAGAAAAGGAAAGAGAACAAAAAAGTGTGTGTATGTGTAGGGAGGGTGGGTCGGGGGGGGAGGGGGGGGGGGGGTGAGAGAGATGCATCTTTTATCAGAGTCATCGGGCCTCCAGCCCAAACAATGAGAGGCTAAAAAGAGAGCTGCGGAGTGGAGATGTGCTGGTAGAAGAGAGGAAGCTGTATGGGACAAAGTGTTCAAGGTGAAAAAAAATCAACTGGAGGTTTTCTGAGGAATCAGTTCATCCTTGGTGGGGGTTTTTTTTCCTCACTTTTCTTAGCCTTTCTTATTTGATCCAAATTATAATTACCAAAGAAATGACCAGTCATTTGTATTTTATCAGTATCTTTCTGCAGTGCCTGCTATGTTGGGATCAATGTGTGTGTGTGAGTGGGCTCAAGAAAAAGAAAACACCGAACTCCTAACAGGAAAAGTTCCGTATTTTTGTGATTTGTTTGTTTGCTTCCCAGCTGAGAGTTGCTTTAGATGAGAGGACTGATCTCACTTTCATGTTGGTGCGTTAAACTTACTGTGGGGAACTGGTTACAAAACAGCCTTAGTATGACACGTATGACCTACGTAAGTAAACCGAGACCACCGACGAGACGGTTGCTTGTTTCCGTATAGTCATTCTTCAAGCTTGTCAGCAGAAACGCCGGATTGGATTGGGCACAAAATCAAATGAATTCTCTAAAAGTTCACTGGAAAAACCCTTCAGACCAGCGTCCCGATTGCCCAGGGAGGCGATGTATCCTCGGGAATTTTAGCTCAGCACCTCGATGGGACTTACAGAGGGCTAAACGTTGAAGGCGCGGGGCGCCACGAATCGCCGCACTGGGCAGCTGTGGAGACCTTGAACGCGCTTTGTTTGCTGAACGGAGCGCTGACGTGCTCCAGTCAACGGAGCACTCCGGGGTGTTCACAGCGCGGCTCTCAAATGTCACCGCTGTCATGGGAAGCTCCCGCCACCCCCGTCTAAAGCCCCGGCGCTCTTTACACTTTTGAGAAATGGGAGAATGTGAGAAGTAGCATCATTTCATCGCGGGGCGTCGTTTGTCTTCCCTCACACCGAAATGGCAGAGGTTAAAGTCACGCGCGACGTTGCCGTTTGTAACATTTTTGTCAACTAAATGTCGTACCTTTGGTATGAAATGATGATGCGCCGAACCCGATAAACGCTTGATTCCTCCTTCCAACTTCAACTGAAAGCCGGGCAGAGTTGTGGCAATCTAGCAGTCGAGCTGCATAACTCACAGTAATCACTGTTTGGTGTAAGTGAAAGACGTAATATCCTTTTCGTATAATCTCAGTCAGTGAGATCATGTGTCATTTTATCAGAGTGCATCGTGATCGTGTAAGATGTGCTGGGGGACGGCTACGTTGCCTGGGGAATTGCTTACGGCCAAACCGAAATTTAGTTCGCAGCAATGGAGGGAGGAACAGTCCTGATGTCAGATTGGCGCACCAGAATGTTCAACATCATGATGCCACGGAACCTCGAACACGACAAACCTCCCGTCAACTGTGTATATATATAAAAAACATTAGCGTCCGCTGTGGCGAGTTCTCCATCCTTTAATGACTGGAGGCGGTTTAACGGAAAGCGTTTGTTACAAATGGTACCCGTGGATTCGAAACACCAGATGTCTGGAAGACCTTTTCACACCTCAGTCCCTTTGGAAAACCCATCTCATTTTTACTGCAGCCCCGGTTCTAGTTCTCCCCCTTAATCCCAGAACTGCATGGGAACAGGTCACGGGTGAGTTCAGCGAGGGATTAGAAAGACAAGGCTTCGCCGTGTGGGATTCTGCAGATGTGTGTGTGACCTGTCGATATCAGATAGAACATTGACTTTGAGGAGATGCAAAATGCTTGTGTCAACTTTTCTGTCCAAAAGCCTCGCAGAACAACTTCAGCTCAGAAAAGGTGTACTGGCAGCGAGATTCTAGAATCCTATAATAATCACTAAATAGGCGCTTGTTGGTCCGGATCCGGGTTTAAAAATGCATATTCGGATCCTAAAACTAAACAATTAAAACCCGGAACCAATTTCTTTTTCAGCAGAAACCACACATATGATTATTTATTAGTGCCGCTGATGGGTCTTCACACAGTGTGGCAAATCAGTTGAATTGTACATATAGTGAAACTGCAGCTGGGCTGATCTGGAGCCAGGTGACGTTTATGAGGACAGCTTCCATCACCAACCATCCCCTCCTCCAAAAATGAGCCGTCGAGAGCCGTCGCTGGGCGTGTCGCAACCCCCCCCGGCCTGTGTATTTTTCCCCCGTTCAAAAAGGAAATTTATATTTTCTTTTTTCAAATGTTTAAAAAAAGTGTTTGTGATCACACCGACCTGCAGATGGAGTGTATCTCGTGCGCGTCCTCGTCCTTGCGGGCGTTGTCGGCGAGACTGTCTCCCAGGGCCATCAGACACTGAGCGAATCCTTTGTAGATGGAGTGACACCTTCTGGCCGACGCCGCGGCGACCGGGCTGAGCACTGGACAACACACACACACACACAGAAAGATTAATCCCGGTGGAAATCAATATGATCTGAAATCCAGCAGTTGACCAGGAAGTGGAGATGCAACAGAGGAGAAGTGCATTTGTTCATCCTCAGTGATCCGATTCCGTTGGGAGCAACAAGACGCTCACTCACGACCTTCCACCATCCTGACACGGATTACGCTTACTGACAACCTTGATTACTCAACAACCCACACTGCATCCACCGAAACACGCTAGATTTTGCGCAGAGGTATCAGATGAGAGCTCGGTCCAAAATCTATGAGGTGAAGTGAAAATATTTTGAGCGCATCAATTTATTGATTTTTGGTAAAGGAATATTTTCGCAGCTTTGACTTAAAAATAGAGATACAGGGTCTGTGCACTTAGAAAAATGAACTGGGCAGAAGCACCAACAGGTGTCCACCTGCTCAGGTCCACAGCACGGATCGTCAGAGAGAGAAGCAACAAGGAGATGATGTAGTAGGTCTGCTCACAGTTCTGACTAGGTTCAAATATTAGGGTAGGAACCCAAAGACAGTGCTTCGTATCGGAAATGCATTTAAGGTTCATCCAGCTTGTCTGTTTTTTATATTCGTTTCTTCACAGTGTTGATATGATAGTTTCTGAATCGAGTTCATCGTGACGGAGCATTTGTAAAAAGTAACTCATCTCCCAAAGACTGAATCCACACAGAAATCATGTTGCAGAGGGATAAAACCAAAAGAAGAGTCCTTTAAGAGGCGCATTCAGGAGACTCACAAACACACACACACACACACACACCCGGCCTCACAAGTCATTTACTATGTATATATTTACAGCATCTCACCAAAGCCCCGAGCGGTTTGTAGAATCCGACTCGAAGGAGGAATCTCATCCAGAGAGATGGGTATTTGATCCATATATTTTAATTTCACTATCAGCCATCATTCAATCGTTTTGCTGTTGTGCCATCATTTATAGGGGATTGAAAAAGACTGGGAAGTAAGCTTCATAGTACACACTGAGACCGGGGGGGCCCTTCTGCGACCGGGGCACCACTGTTTGATTAGACTGATCCTTTCATGTCTTTTAAGCAGCAGCAGCAGCAAATGAATGTGAATCAGACTGAGAAGACTTTGAGTAGCAGATAAGTGTCATGAAAACAGAAGATGCAATTATTACTTCAAAGGCTTTTCAAGTTTGTGATCTTTTTTTTTTTTTTTTTCAAACTTCTTAGTTCCGGACCTTTCAATCACCAAACACAACTCCAGACTTCTTATTGATTTGATATACTGTAGGTCTGACCTCTCATTATGCCCCATCTGTGATTATGCCCGGGCAGCAAACCCGCTTGGTTGAGATAGGGAAAGGTCATCATTTTATTAAGGACTCTCATGCCACGAATTGCAAACTAACCTATACCAAATTACAATCCTTAATACTGAAGGTTATTATCAAAATAAACCCCGTGTTCAATGCATTTCCTCAGCAAAAAACAACGACAATGTATCTTCATTCAGCAATGACCCCTTTGTACTAGTGGCGGGGTCCACCACCCTCGGCGACGTCGGCACGGGGGATTTTGTGGGAAATGATTCTTCCTCGCAATGCCGCCATTGATATTCGCCTCATTGGGAACGGCTTCATACATCCTTCCCCCTGTTCCGTGTACGAACATGAGTGCCCCCCCCCGTTGCTGATTGACTGGAAAACAGTTGTGTGGATCAGTGCAAGCTACCTTATTTGTTCTGTATGAACATTGGATTACTTATTAGCGTAATAAGTAGGAGGTGATGCTTGCTGAATTTGACAGTGGGTGTATTGGATTAGACTGAAAAGAAAACCAACGTGTCCTTATACAAAAGGTTCAAATAATGTGAATTTCTCTAATGAAGTCTAGCAACTCCGGTCGATTAAACTCATTTCGTGCATACAGCCTTTTCAAAATGATCTGCTGTCGTCACAGGAAAGTATTTAGTTAGCTTACATTAACGGGGTTAATGTTAAAATGTGACGAATATTCAGGTATTTGGACTTCTCATTTCGCATGTGAACGGCAGAGTGGTCTCCTCTGGAAAAGCGAGTTACATGGATTAAATGGAATTCTATTTTTTTCATGTATGACTGATCAAATATATATGCGTATATGTATGAGAACAGCCGAAGGGAAAAAAAAAAAAAAAATCAGTATGCGACCGGGGTTAGACCAAATACACACACACACAAAAATCGACACTGGGTCACGCTAACCACGGCCAAAACAACCATGATGGAAATCTCGAGGAGACAATCCTTTTAAACGTTACAAAACCGCCATGAAAGGTCTTATAATGCTGTATATGCTGTGAGTGGAGACTCAAAAAAAAGACACAAAAATGCAAAGTTACCATCCTACTGATATGTTCATTATGCAGATTCCACGTTGACTGAAAAGGACCAATATATCACTTTGTGCCGATTGACTGGACTGAATTGCCCCCGAAAAGAAGTCGGCGAACGAGCTGGAAGTCGGACTGAAGGATGCAGTGTGCGACCATCGGGCCACACGTAGGCGCGTCAGCAGTGATTACGTCCCCGATAAGCTGGGAGACGGGAGGAGTTGCTTCGGATGCAGACGAGACAGGTGATCAATACAAGAACCGACGGCCCGGCTCAGGCACGTCTACAAAAAGTGTTAATTGACTGTCGGAAACAGAAAAAACGTAAATGTTAAACAAATTGATTGACACAGACCTTTGTGAAATATGTTTGTTTTAAAGGTGATGCATGCTTCGCCCCCCCCTTTGCGCGTCCTCACCTCCATCCTTTTCCTCTGCTGACTCCAAAGGATGGAGAAAATGGAGACAAAAGGTGTCGTGAAAGGTTTTTGGCAGCTTCTTTCTTTTGCCATCTGTTGCTTGGATTCCGTCTTTCTTGTGTTTTAATTCATCCGTTTCCTCATTCATCTCGAAGCTCCATGTCCCATGAAGGGCAGCGCGCGCGCCGCTGAGCAGTTCCCGCGTACACACCAGAGAAGGGGGATGCACGATGCAGAAGCTGATCAAAACCGCGATCCTGAATTTAGATGCAGATCCGTCACTATCACACTAAAAAACGCTTAATCCAAGTTGATTTCTTTCATTTCTTATCTTTGCTATTCACCAAAACTCTGATGAGCCAAATCTTTCAATCTTTGCACTTGTCATGAACATGAGCACATATACATATCCAAAATTTTTGGTTGTGTAAAACTCACATTCAGATGCTTTAGTTGAGTAAAAGAACCAGATTCAACGGTACTGAAATACTTAAGCCGTGCACGGAAGATCCTATGTTTACGGTGTCAGAATTCTCCCCACCGTTTGAGATCGTATCACATATTAAAGCTTTAGATTGTAAAGTTTGTCAATACTAATGCAGCATTGGTGTCAGCAGTGCTTTTTTGTTGTAGCTACTTAAAAAAAAACAGGTAGGTCTCCACAGTGTGAGATAGCTAATGGGAAGTCAAAAGTGAAACTATTTTGGAGAAATGAATCTTTATATATGGACATTTATTTTTGATACATGTTCCATGTTTTATACAAAATGAGCACATACATTCTTGATTTATGGCGAGAAATGTGTATTCTATGGTCACAGAGACCGTTTACCCCCAAAATATCGCCGGTTCATCCTTGAAATTAGTATGACGTCTGTGCAAATTAAACCAAATTCCCTTCAGGCCCCCCTGATGTGTTCTTGTGTCGGTCAAGAGAACGGAATTGGACGGCCAGACAATCTGACAATAACAGGGTCTGGAGGCATTATTTAATCAGACATAAAAACGCTGATTTTGGATCCCTTCCTTCGCCATGTCCTAAAAAGGTCCTCTTAGTCAAGCGTTGTGGCTCCAAGTTGTAGACCAGACCAGCATGTCATCGCAAAGGCTGACCAGCCTTCTATGGGAAAGGACCTGGCCCGGTGCATGAGGATGAGAACAGGATATGCCATATGTCATCTTCATTGACAGTAAATGGCCAAATGCTGCTGCTGATACTACTGATGGATAGCCAGCGGTAGCTTGAGTGCAACTGCAGTCCAGTCGTGCAGTACAGCAGCGTTAGAATGCCTTTGAATGTATACGAATAGCTTTTAATCTTTGCCGTTTTGTAAAGTATTTAAAGAGTTTGCCTCCTTGAGCCTCAAATTTTAAATATTTAAATGAAACGGGTTTAGAAAGGACATTCCTCGGGCGGGTGGATTGATTGACATTATGGTCAGTGCATTGCCCTTCATTAAATGCTAATGATTTAAACCCATGCAGAAGATGCAATAAACACAAGACACAGAACTCTGATGATGGAGGTTTATCAAATCACGTTTTCATTCATTCCTTTATTTAAACTATGGCCACATTTCCACTCTATTTGACTGTAAATTGACCATAATAATAAACTCTTTACTGGTTTTATAAACAAAATTAAAAGTAGGGTGATTTCCTCAGATTTCCATTCAATTGGATTTCTTTTTGCAACTGGAGAAGTCGTTCCGTACTATTCAGTAAAGATAAAACCCTTTTCCCACTTCCAGATTGGCTTTAAACTCAAAATGGTCTCTGCCCCCATTAGTCTGGCATGGTTAACATCCTCTTCATAACACTTTTTAACGATAGCAATCAGTGCTAACGGATTCACAGGATAGCGGCACAGAACAAGTCCGTCCAGCGGAAGAGTCCGACAACGGAACGTTTCAAGAACAATGTGTTTTTCGGTGTGTGAATGAATGAAGTTTGACACTTCTGCGTCAGCGTTTTATCCGTAGCTTAAGTAACAGTCCTGGAAGAACATCTGGATCAGACAGCGTTTGGGCCGGGTTGGTCTCGTCCCAGAGGAGCCTCAATTAGCCCCCAGAGAGAGATCATTATGGAGGTGGCGGTGACTGATTTATACACGGAGCCAAGATGGTCCTCTTCAAGGGTGTGGCGGTGTCGCGGACGCACCGTGTCGTGATTAGTGTACACGGCGGCGCCGCTGAAGAGTGCGACTGTCC